TTGCAACACCTTGCGAACATGCACCTCGTGATCGGCCTTGGTCTTGCTGTAGATCAAGATATCATCCAGGTATACCATCACAAAGTCATCAAGGAAGTCATTGAGCACTCTATTCATAGTGGACTGGAATAGAGCAGGCGAATTGCGAAGACCAAAAGGAACTACCAGCCATTCATAAGAGCCATAACGAGTGTTGAACGCTGTCTTGGGAACATCTTGATCACGAATACGCAGTTGATGATATCCACTTTTCAAATCGAGACTTGTGAAGTATTGGGCACCACTGAGACGTTCCAAGCATTCATCGATTCGAGGCAAAGGATGACCATGACGTCGAGTAACTTGGTTGATGGCGCGATAATCGATACACATGCGTAATTCACCGGACTTCTTGCGCACAAAAAGAACAGGTGCCCCCCAAGGTGATGTGCTAGGGCGAATTAGACGTAAGTCTAACAATTCTTTTAGTTGTTTGCGCAACTCGTCCAGCTCCAAAGGGCTCATCTTGAAGGGTGGTCGATTGATTGGTTCGGCATCTCCAGTGTCAATGATATGTGCTACATCCCGTTCACGAGGTAAACCAGGCAAACGGTCTTGAAACACGTCCTTGAACTCATTGAGCAATGCATCAATAGACTCCTTGTCAACGTTTTCGGGGGGCTTGACATAGCAAAGATAGAACTCGGAGATCCTTTTGAGGCGATCATGTCGTTGTAGTTGCCGATCCGAAAGTAGGTAGGCCAAATCGGGAAAGGTGCGTTCATGTTTGGGACGAAGCAAATACTGATGACCATTCTTGTTGATTTGCCAAGTGTCGACATCCCATGCTGGTATTGGATTCACAGCTTTCAACCAGTCGCGTCCGAGGATAACGTCAAACTTGGTATCCAACACAAAGGCATCGACGCTGTGCTTGTACCCCGCAGCATCCAACACCAACGTCACTTGTTCATCAATCGACAATGTGTGTCCACCAGCAGTTTCAACAGCACGACCAGGCACCTTCCTTCGAGTTTGACCCATGACCACGTGTGACGAGACATATGAACATGTAGCACCACTATCAATCAGGGCACTTACAACAACACCATTGCAAACAATAGAATACAAAGGTAACTCAGTCTCTTTTATTGAATACAAGGCGTCAATGTAAGCTTGATCCTGATTAACGGCATTGTGGTCTATGCTACTAGTTGTCACCGGTTGAGAATCTTGATCATCCTTGTCATCCAAATCGATAAGCGTTGCTTCTGGGACTTGCGAATCTTGCTGCACCATGTGAAGAGATTCTTGAGAGCGCGGTAAGGATCTCTTCACTCCTTCCGCGCTTTGCCTTTTAAATCGCCAGCTTGTTGACCACGACCAGCACCACGAGAAGACGAATTGGGTTGTGATGGACACAAACGAGCGACATGGCCCATACCACCACAATTGTAACATTGTTTGTCATGCATGCTACTTGTTGGGTGATAAGACCGAAAGCCTGGCTGTCCACCATTGTTGCGCCATCTTTGTTGAAAAGGGCGGTTGCGAATGACATCAAGATCCATAGGTGCGACACCATCAGAACGCAAGTATTCAGGAGGTCGTGTATCTTGACGAGGAGGTGTTGTGTTGGACAACAACTCATGACGAATGTTGCGTGCACTTTCATAAGCCAATGCCATGCGTTGAGCTTCTGCTGATGTTGAAGGGAACCGGGTCACCACATGTGCACGAATGTCATCTTGAAGTCCCCTTGTAAAGCGATCGAGTGCTTCCTCATCAGTCATGGTCGGGATCTGGATACGTACGCCACGAAATTGTGCAACATAATCGATAACGGTGCCGGTTTGGTGCAACACAGCCAACTTGTCGCGAGCTTGTTGAGTGGCGTTCAACGGTCGAAACTCAACAATGATTTCCTTTCGAAAATCAGGCCAATCGGATATGGCGGAGCCATAAGATGTTCGTTGTTGCCACCATTCTTCTGCTTCATCTCGTAACTTCATGACTGCAAATGGTACCCACTCATGATCATCCAAAGACGTCAATTGTAGGTAACGCTCCATTGTACGAATCCAACTCTCAATAGCACCTGGGGAACGATCACCATGGTAAGTATCCGGCTCTGGAAGTTTGGGTCTTGTGAAGCTGCTTGAAGTGGTATTGCCTTGTTGTTGTTGTAGAAGTCTTTGCATTCCTGCCATGAGCATCACCATTTGCTCTTCCACGGTAGGTGTACGTTGCGCTTGTGCTTGTCCTTGTTCCATAGTAATCTGTTCTTCAATAAAACTGGGCTCTTGTCTTGTCGTAATTTCTTCTTCTGAATCGCTATCTTGCACACGATATCCTTGAAAACTGGGTCTGTTCTTGTACGGGTTGTTGTTTGATGAATCGAAACTTTGCATCAGCTACCAAATGTCGTATTCGAATCTGTGCTGGTAATCCAATGGCCAGAATAAAGAATAGACGAATGAAGCTTTTTGCTGATTGAAGATAAGAATATAAGATATGGTTTATTCATACAAGAGAAAGGGATATTTATACTATTCTAAAAGATAGGCGCAGTATGCGCAGCATGATGATGGATGATGATACAAGTGTTGCGCAGCATGCGCAGTAAAGATGTGCGCAGCAATAAAGCTGCTGCGAAGCAGTGTGTAACAAAAGAAGTAGCGAAGATCACGTGTAACAAAAGAGTGATACGACAATACCCCCTCTCCAGAATAGATGTCGTCCTCGACAAGAAGAAAAGAGAGAGAAGAGAGAGAGAGAAAAAAAAATCACGAGGATTGTGCATTGAGTGAAGCTTGTTGACGGGCTTGAGCACGTGAAGTGGTGGGGTCATACCAAGGAACGTTGTTGATAGAGGACTTGATGTGGATTGGCTGAAGGCGATCTGTGTGGACCCAAGAAGCGTACTTGTTGCCGTTCATGTCTTGAAGTTGGTAGATGTGGGTATCCAGGTGACGAGCAATGATACGATAAGGACCCTTCCAGTTGTATTCCAAGCTGAACTTGTTTTCATGTCGCATGAGTACATGGTCACCAACAGCAAAGACTTGAGGTTTCATATGGGCATCCCAACGAGTCTTGTCACGTGCAGCGTTATCCTTCAAGCGTTGTTCAGCAATGGCACGTACTTTACGTAATTCACGAACAGCAGGCACACGGCCTTGAGCGGCTTGTTCCAAAGTGGTATCAGAATCATCCAAATGCGAGAGAACAAATGGCCTTAAATGATCACCAGGAAGTTGGGGTTCTTGACCATATACCAGGAAAAAGGGACTGAAACCAGTGGTACGGTGTTTGCGAACACGACAAGAAAAAAGAGCAGGCTGTACAAATTCATCCCAACGATGGATTTCCCCATGGACATACTTGCGGATCATTTGCTTCAAGATACCATTGGTGCGTTCTGCCTTGGCATTGGTGCGAGGATGAAAAGCTGAAGTGAGCTTGTGCTTAACCTTGAGTCGACCCAAATAGTCAGCCAACACCTTTGACATGAAGTTGGATCCACGATCGGTCAAAATTTCATTCATACAGCCAAAAGGTAGCACCAAGTCTTCGTAAATGAAATTAGCAATCGCTTCACCAGACGCAATAGGAACAGCACGTGCACAACACCAATTTGTGGCATAATCCACTGCAACAAGGAGCCAACGATTGCCATTCTTAGTTGTAGGTAATTCGCCAACAAAATCCAAATGCCAACGAGAGAAAGGAGAGGGAACATCCAAAGGGGCCATAGGAGCATTATGGGTCTTGCGGTCAGCATTTGCAGCTAATTGGCATTCGGCACATGAAGCTAACCATTCTTGAATATCGGTTCGCATGTTAGGCCACCACCAACGCTTCACCATAAGATCAACAACGGTTGTTTTACCAGCATGACCAACCGAGTAGTGAAAATCACGTACAAGATCGGCACGCCGAGCAAACAAAACGTAACGTCGTTCTTCTTCCTTGTCACCAACACGCACCATCCTGAACACCTGGTTGTCACGCACCACGAATTTGTCCTTGTGCTTGAGGAGAAGATCCTTGTATGTTGTGGGCCATTTGTCTTCCGGCATTGCATAAAATTTGGGCCAATCCGATTCTTGCACCGACTTGACAGCATAAAGATATTGTGGCTCCATACTTGATTCATTGGTGACACATTCGGGACCCATCACGCCTTGAAAGTAAATCCGGGACACAGTTTTCCTTGCCAGGCTTGTACAAAATGGTGGGATCATACAACTCAATTTCCGCCATCCAACGTGTGAGACGAGGCGTAGGCTTAACTTGTGTCCGGAAATACTTGAGTGGGTTGTGATCAGAGAAAACCGTATAAGGACGTCCTTCAATGAAACACCGCCAAGCTCTCAATGCATGAAGGATAGCAAGCATCTCCCTTTCTTGTGCTGGATAAGATCGTTCTTCATCGGATAACTTCTTGGATTCGAACGCAATCGGGTGCTTTACGCCATCGGGTCCTTCTTGTAATAGCACTGCTCCCACACCATAATCACAAGCATCTGTCTCGATGATGTATGGCTTGTGCGGATTTGGTGGTGACAAAATAGGGGCTTGGGAAATGCGGGCTTTGATCTCGTCAAAAGCGCGTTGGCACTCTTCAGACCAAACAATTGCTCGTTTCTTGGTTCCCGTTCCTTTCGTCAAGTCCGTTAATGGAGACGCCAATGCAGCAAAGTCTTGAATGAAACGACGATAGTGCGATCCAAGACCAACGAATTGTCTCACTTCTTGCACATTGGTGGGCACAGGCCATTCTTGAATCGCCTTGACCTTGCTTGGTGAAGGTAAGGTTCCCGCTCCAGATACTTGAAAGCCAAGAAACTCCAACTCGGTCTTGTAGAATTCACACTTGCGAAGATTGGCAATCAACTCCTCATCCCTCAGACATTGCAACACCTTGCGAACATGCACCTCGTGATCGGCCTTGGTCTTGCTGTAGATCAAGATATCATCCAGGTATACCATCACAAAGTCATCAAGGAAGTCATTGAGCACTCTATTCATAGTGGACTGGAATAGAGCAGGCGAATTGCGAAGACCAAAAGGAACTACCAGCCATTCATAAGAGCCATAACGAGTGTTGAACGCTGTCTTGGGAACATCTTGATCACGAATACGCAGTTGATGATATCCACTTTTCAAATCGAGACTTGTGAAGTATTGGGCACCACTGAGACGTTCCAAGCATTCATCGATTCGAGGCAAAGGATGACCATGACGTCGAGTAACTTGGTTGATGGCGCGATAATCGATACACATGCGTAATTCACCGGACTTCTTGCGCACAAAAAGAACAGGTGCCCCCCAAGGTGATGTGCTAGGGCGAATTAGACGTAAGTCTAACAATTCTTTTAGTTGTTTGCGCAACTCGTCCAGCTCCAAAGGGCTCATCTTGAAGGGTGGTCGATTGATTGGTTCGGCATCTCCAGTGTCAATGATATGTGCTACATCCCGTTCACGAGGTAAACCAGGCAAACGGTCTTGAAACACGTCCTTGAACTCATTGAGCAATGCATCAATAGACTCCTTGTCAACGTTTTCGGAGGGCTTGACATAGCAAAGATAGAACTCGGAGATCCTTTTGAGGCGATCATGTCGTTGTAGTTGCCGATCCGAAAGTAGGTAGGCCAAATCGGGAAAGGTGCGTTCATGTTTGGGACGAAGCAAATACTGATGACCATTCTTGTTGATTTGCCAAGTGTCGACATCCCATGCTGGTATTGGATTCACAGCTTTCAACCAGTCGCGTCCGAGGATAACGTCAAACTTGGTATCCAACACAAAGGCATCGACGCTGTGCTTGTACCCCGCAGCATCCAACACCAACGTCACTTGTTCATCAATCGACAATGTGTGTCCACCAGCAGTTTCAACAGCACGACCAGGCACCTTCCTTCGAGTTTGACCCATGACCACGTGTGACGAGACATATGAACATGTAGCACCACTATCAATCAGGGCACTTACAACAA